GGGGGGGTATACCCCCCCCCCCCCATCAATGACATCTTATACTTCACAGTTGTTTGAGCTCTACAATTTTCTCCACTCCTCCCTCCCCATCTTATGGGACTCAAAGGGGATTCATCGAAGGATTCCAGCTGTGACCAGGCTCAAACCTGCTTGGGATTCCTGGATTGGCTTCTGAATCTTGCGTCCTTTATTCTTTGCCCGCACTGGACAAAAGTAGGCTGTTGTACACAAACCCCTTTGCCACAAAGCATCTTGTCACTTTTACTGCTTTGCAATATGTCACTATATAAAACAAGAAGTTTTTTAAGTCAGCAGGAGAATGTTGAACATATGGTGGTGGGCAGAGGAGTCCTGAAAAAATATTATACCTATCCAATTAAATATACAAGGCACAATAAATTCAGTGAACAGTGCAGCATTGGGGTAGTAGCTCAAAAAATTCCTTTGGAGGCTTTTGCAGAAGACTCCACAAAATCTCGCTTTGAAGCAGCCACTTTGATGTACTGTACTGCTAATAAACTATAAAAACAGAACCTACACTTACCCAACACTGGCCCACCCTAAGAAGGGATGAAAAGATCCACCATTTTTTTATGAACAGCAACTATCTGGAAAGTGACTTGGTTTTGTCTTGTCTTGTATGTCACTACAGTACAGAATGCAGAAGGCTACCATTTAGTTCTAAAATAGACTGGGACCTTCTTGGCGGTGTGCTGCTGGCCTGCAAGAAGATGGGGATCTGAAAGACGCAAAAGCAGGTGCAATAAGAATATTAATAGCAATATCCCACAAGTTCACTGTACACCAATGAACTCAAGGTGGACATCATCTGGAATGGATTTTAGCAACAGGAATCTGTAGCACGATAAACTACAGGGTTGGGGTTTTTTTTCATAATTTTTGCCCCCCCCCCAAAAGTGGCAACCCCGACACCCCACTTACATACAGATTCCAAAGCATGGAGTATATTATCAACTGGTTATGCAATATTCTGCAAGCAAAATGGCTACTTTGTAATTATCAGTCTCTCATGACGTTATTGGCACAACTCCACAGGAGGAAGATGCTCTCAGACCTGTATTTGCTGAGGGAATGAAAACCAATAGGGTTTTTTTTTTTTTAAATATATCAAAGAATGAACAGATGGAAGGAGATACTTGATCCTTTGGAAAGGCAATGATCCTCCCATGCAGGGCGGGGTATCACAGCCTGATTTTGCTGTGGTGGGAAGCAGGCTATAGTCAAGAGTATTTCTGAGTGGGAAACTCATCCTCTGGTCACTATATTTACAAGGCCAACAGATGACTGAAAAGCTCATGTTTGTTGAAGAACTGGTTGGGCCCTTACTATGAATGGTTGGCAGCATCTGTTATGAAGGTGAACCACCATGCCCACTGCACAGATGGCACATCAGTCAATTACCTGGAATTGTGGAGAATGCTGTAGGGCCACCTACTTTGCCAAATTCTTTCCCTATGAAATTGCCTAAGCAACGTGGAGCTTTGCTTTTCAAGTGCTTACTAATGGATAGGTCAGGGTGGTAATGCCAGAAAATGTTGGGTTGTGAAGAAACGTCTTTAGCTTCTGCTCTCCATCCTTCTTCCCTCAACCAAAAGGCAGACTTGTCTCTGCCCTCCATTGGGCTGCAGTGCTGTCAATGTAGCTCTCTTTGATTTTTAACACTGGATGGTGTCAGTGGGAGAGGTGCCAACTGCTTTTGTGGGCTTCTACTGGAAAATACAGTTAGATATTGAGGAATCTTGTTGGAGAAATCCAAGAAAGTTAACAATCTTCCTTAAATATCAAATTATTATATGTTCTAATTACCAGGGCAGGCAAGGTCACTTCTCCAGACATTTGATGAGTTGTTTTTTCATTTGTAAAATACAGAGATTATGGGATATTGGATGTCAACTTTTGTCAGTGTTTTAATTTCAAAAGCCAATCAAATATTGAAAGGGATGGTTGGGTGATTCTCAAACAAAGTTTAGATTCCACTCATTCATTTGCTTATCTAGGAATAACCACTAGTGACCTCAGCAGCCCTGACTTTTGAGTAAATATGCACAGAATCTTGCTATTATTTGATCTGTCAAAAAAGAAGTGCCTGTAAACCATTAGCTTTTAAGTCTTTTCATAAGAAACGTTTCTGCACTCATATGGCTTAACTCATTATTTCACCTATTAGTATTAACTGCAATCTTTTTTAAAAATCTATTTTTATTTGGATATTGCTGTTATTTGCCTAAGCCTTTTTATATTAAAACATGACTGTATCTTACTGCCATCTGTTACCAGCTGGATAGTTTTTTGTAATGATTTCTAAATCCTTCTGCACAGTAGGAAAGCAGCAGCATAATTATAAAGTAATCAAGTGTGCCTATTTTTATGCCAGATAAACATAATGTATTAATGCAAACACATATGAAGTGCTAAGTCAGTAGCACAAAGAGAGCATGCCTATCCCTTTGAACAGTGATCTGAGTTTGTGATGCACAACTTCTGTGATGTTAAAAAAACTCTTGACTTTCCTATACAAAGGAAATCCTGCTAAAGCTTGAACATTTGGTACCAACCTGGAAAGTTGGCAACCTTAATATTTTAATCAATTATCAGATATTGATGAAAGCTTAAACCCACATTACAATTTCCCAGCTCAAGGCTCTCTTCATACACCATATTTTAAAAGTGTGTGCTTAATTGTACAGAGTATGAACAAAACACACTTGTTTCAGGTAGGTATTTTTTTTTACTTGTAAGCTGCCTAGGGTTGCTTATATAATGAGATGGGCAGCATATAAATTTGATCAATCAGTCTTGGTTGGTAAATATATTGTAGTTGGCAGATCCTGCTAGCAATACTGTACAATACCGTAAATCTAGGTCTGCCCTTTATAAAGTGGGAAGAGATCTAGAATCACTCCAGGGGAGTTATTTTGAACGTGTAAACACATTACCTTTTAATTAAGGTATGTTGATTTTCCATCTTCATGTACATCTTATGTGGTGGTAAGAGGCCTTGATGTGAAAACCACTTGATGTGCCACAGACCTAGTATTAACTTCCAGAAAGAGTCAATACTTGTAATATAGCATTGATTTTAGAATTCCTATCAAATATGTTGCTTATATAATGAGATGGGCAGCATATAAATTTGATCAGTCTTGGTTGGTAAATATATTGTAGTTGGCAGATCCTGCTAGCAATACTGTACAATACCGTAAATCTAGGTCTGCCCTTTATAAAGTGGGAAGAGATCTAGAATCACTCCAGGGGAGTTATTTTGAACGTGTAAACACATTACCTTTTAATTAAGGTATGTTGATTTTCCATCTTCATGTACATCTTATGTGGTGGTAAGAGGCTTTGATGTGAAAACCACTTGATGTGCCACAGACCTAGTATTAACTTCCAGAAAGAGTCAATACTTGTAATATAGCATTGATTTTAGAATTCCTATCAAATATGTTACACTCCAGTTTCCATTATTTCAGAGCAAAAGAATTCCTTGTCGATTACCTATGACACAAAAATCCAAATTAATTCTGGACCTATTTAAAGTAAACAGAAGACAATTTGAAGAACAGTTAAATTATTCAATCTGTTCCTCCAAATTTCTTCTTGGAAAGCTTTTCCTCATGACGACAAAATGCCAAGTATTTGGAACTAGATTTTTTTTTTTTTTTGCAACAAGTTTCCTACACTATGAACTTGACCAAGGTTATAATATTATAAAATGGAAAGAAACAAATCTATACAGATATTCTAGTTTTAGTAAATTGGCATTATTAAATCTGCAAGTGTTTCCAGGAGAAGTGAATACACAGATTCCACATTCTTGAAATACAGGGATTTCTGTATAGCCTATACCCAGGGGACTAAAGGGCAAGATTCCAACTTGGATGTCTAATATATTTGTTCATGAGGAGAATTATGCTCTACATATCCAAGTAGCTTTTTTTTTTCACACTGAGCAAAATATCAGCAGTTGTACAAAGGCAATCTTAAAATTTAAAAACAGATACTCTATAGTTCCAGGAGTTAAATGTTCAATAAAACATTTATTTAATTAAAAAGTGCTTGTGTGAGTGCTTTGACACTGGTTTCCTAAAGGAATTGGCTGAATTGCACTATACTACATTAGGGTTCTAAATTCTAAAGAAATTTGGTATATAATCACCAAATACCCAGCCTTTGGACAATTAGTAGCACCCCCAATATGTCTACACCATTATGGAATCAATTAGAAAAGTAATGGGTTGCCCTCCACTAAATGTGCCCCAATTGGAGAAATTAAGAATCTGTCTTTTAATTTGACATCAGGAGATTACATCTCAAAGTTTAAATGATCTCTTCCAAATCTATTTTTTTATTTCTGCCTTTCAGGGACAAATCTAAGCCAAGTGAACAGATTATACTTAAAAGTAGTAAGACCTGACCTATGGTCCTTCCTCCTGAAAACAGAACATTTTCAAGGAGCCATGTCATACAACCTCTTTCCCAAACCACCCAGTACAATGGGCCAGTCATGTCTACTACATCCAGACAAAACTAAACAAAATAACTATGGATTTGCTATATTTTTTTAAAGTTATTTTTTCTATCTTTTGGGGGATTTGTTTTAGAATTGTGAGATATGACTATTAGCACACCTTGAGCATTAGATTCTATTAACTCAGTAGAGCTGGAGGTTCTTCAGATCACTCATATCTTCAATGATTCAATCATTTTTCCCAAATCGTTTCCTGTTTATAAGGCAAATGGGTTATGTGTAATTCAGCCGATAAATAAGAACTATTGTTTTCCACAACATGTGACACAGCATATGCCTGGAGAGTTGCGTGTAATTTTTGCTGAGGCACTAGTTACTACTATTTAGGTACAGACATAGCCAATGCCAATATTAATATTTTGACATCTCAGGTTATCGTGATTTCAAATTAAATAAGAAAGGGTGTAATGAATAACAATTACAATTACCACAATGGCCTAACTACACAATTTTCAATATATTCGGCATTCTACAGTGGGGAATCTCCCCCACCATTGCTCATGTCAGAGGCAGGACAGAAGATTCAGATGGTATTTCTTGTGAGAGGAGATACTGCCATCCCCCTTTCAGAATTTGTAGGAGAGCTCAGAAGCACCCTTGAGAAAGATAGGAATAATGAATAGGTATATGGAAACTATGTACAACTGGTCAAATCCAATTGGAAACTGTGGCTTTGGTTTTTGGTCAATAACTGGGTGGGCTTGACTCTGATGTAAGTGCGATATATGTAATGTTTTCCTACCACACAGCCAAGATGTCCCTAAGGATGGGTCTTATACCTGAATGGTGCCTAGTCTTTGCTAGAAACTATTTTCTGCAAACCCACCTGCTGAAGGAGGCTTTGACTGAGGCATATAAGTTAAGCTTATTGTGTTTTACAAAAGAGGACACAGAAAACTATGTATCAGCCCTACAGGTATCTTTAGGAGGCATCTGTGTCCATGTGGATAAGGTGGCTATACTTCTAACAGAGTGGGCCTATTTGGGGGCTTGTAGGCTACTTTAATACAGGAAACATAACCTATGTAGCTCTGCAGCCCAGGTAGGTCTGTTGAAGGAGATGAGAAAACTGAGGTTCTGAATTCCTGTTCTGCTCAAATAAAGCTTGATAGCCTATCTGACTTCCAAGATTTTGCCAAACATCCTCTAACTACACCTTGGAGTTGAGATAGGAGGGGAAAATCAATTCCTAACTCTGGGGGAAGGCTGAATTCATCTTGGTCAGAAAGGTTGGATATAGGTGCAGTAATGGGGTCCAGCTGGATTATACAAAGTGCATTAGTGGGAATGAAAAGGCATAAAATGGATCTTTGAGTCATGTGGCACTTACGACATTTGCTGCCTCTACTCCTTGAATTGGGAAGTCTGAGATGAACTTCTCAACTGTGTAGTTGGTGCACGTTGCTAGGTCAATTGTCAGCTTCCTGAAGATTAACAGGATTGGCTTAAGCATTCTGGGGTTGAGACTCCATTTCAGGACAGCCCTTTCAGTTGACTAATCTGTCACTGTGTTATGAATTATCTGGACGTGTCCATTTATGACAGGTGGGGTTCTTTTTGGCCCAATCCAGGGAAATCAGCCCTCTTTGGTGTCAAGAATGGCACTGAGGTGCTATAAACTGGGTGATAGTTGTCTTTATTATTAAAAAGGGCAGATCCTTCAGAGCCCACAAACATCATTTTCCTGTTCAACCTATGGGGACTGAATCAATAGATCATATAGGCAGGAATACATGTGGATTTTCTGGGATATGAGGCAGGCTATGGTGGTAACTGTCAACTACATGAAAACCTTGGGAGCTGATAAAAAGTTGAATGGAAGATAGTAGGTTCCTGGGGAATGTCTAGATAAACCTTTTTTCCTTGAGGCATTCTATAGTGGATCTGTTCCCATCCTGAACCTGTAATATCTGACACAGCAACTTACTCATTACATATCCAAGATAAGTGTGTAATTCTTTTTTTCAGGAATGATGTAAATATGGTGTCTTGAGGGACCTGCTTGATTCCCTTTGTGCAGAGGCAATTTATGACCTTCAGGATGAGATGTTTGATGTTTTGTCTTCTTATGAGACTTGTGGGATGGCATAAAGTAACTTGGCATGTATGCACTGATGAACTCTACCATGTCTTTTGTGACACTATCTTTAGGTTCCAAGGATCTGATGTTGTGTGGGTTTATTAGTGGGCAAATTCCATTAGCCTCTTACCTACCCAGATGGTTTTTGCCACTCCTCACCACCCTGGTGGATTCCCACTCAATCCCAATGATTTTGTTACAAGCCTCAGGCAAGGGGAGACCCAAGGCAGGCTTCTTAGCCACAAAGATAATCTCCACTATTTGTGGGTCCTTAGGAATCCTTAAATTAGGGGATTTGGATTCTTTCAGAGTTTGGGTTTTATAAAATTTATTGACCTGGGCTGAGTTTGAGTGTGTGAATTCTGGGACTGGCTACTGGTGGTACAGAGATTGTTCCCCCTTTCCCTGTCTGTTCTTGAATGGAATTATCTAAACTGTATACAATCAGAGCTGAGGACAGCTTCACTTGTTTAGCTCTTTCCCCTCTGATGGCAGCTGGAGCCTTGGCATCTACATTGAGGTGGTCTATGAGAAGTGGGATATGGGTAGTGGTGCAGACCCACTCTCCCCACCCCCAGTTTGATCTGATTGGGAAGACTCTAGGGGATTTTCCCATCCTTTTCACCCCTTATGGCTACTGGCACAAGCCAGAAACAGAGATCATGGCCTTCAATGGTAATCTCTAGAGAACAAAAGGCTGAGAGAGCTTGGAAGCCATGGTTCCTCTAACAAAGACAATGAGGAGAAACAATGCCTAGCACTGCTTGACTTCCATCCCCCTCCACTGCCCAAGCCATCTGGCTACCCAGAGATGGCAACAGGCTCTCTAGCAGCTATGCTGGTCACATGGCTTGTGGCTAGTGACTCAGCAGTTATGGTGTTAACTGATGCCTTTTGAAGAGATTGTGGCAATGAGGTGAAGCAAGAGAATGCACTGGCATGTCAACACACGCTGGCCTCTTGGCCCAGTCCCCAGCTTTGGAGGAATTCTGACATACCTCTGGACATAAGAGTTCCTGCAGATATGCTTTGTGGGCATATCAGGCTGGAAGGGGAAAAAAAATCAGGGCAGGACAGGGAAAGAAGCTAGGCAAGAAAGGTAGAGATCTAAGATCAAGAGTGTCCTGTACAGAGCTGATGGGTATACATGCTCTCTGGAGAACAGTAGAGCCAGAACTAGGGATGGTGCTATCCCTTCACTTTGGAAGCATTATCAGAATATTTTAGCCCTGCTTTGGAGAAAGTGGGAGATATCCTACTGTAGAATGCCTTGGCTCCATTGCAGGAAAATTATTTTAGCACATCTTAGCATAAATTATCAATCACAAGACTGTTAAAATTCTCACTATTTCTTCACTCTGATCTTTTTTGTGCAACAGTTTAGATAGTTATACATTGTCATCCAACTCAGCTCCTAATGACCTAGATACTCACTGCTAGCAAACATGGAACTGAGTATGGACAACTCATGGAGTTTCTCAGAGAATGGGGGATTTTCATCACGTAATACACTCCTCAGACCTTACATGTTTGTCAAAGCCAAGATTTTTTTTTCTAACATTATTATTAATCATTCATAATAAATATAAGACTAATTTGCTTCTTGGAGCAGCAGCCAAATATCCAGGTAAATAATAGAGTAATAACAGTCTTGTCTCCAAGGTTTTAACTCCAGAAAATGCAGCCCATTACTGACAATCATGGCAAATCCTTGTTTAATGTCATGAATGCAAGTAAAATGTATGGGATGTTTTGATGCTGAATCTTAAAAATCATAGCAGAAACTAGGATTCAATCTATCAATTTACCCAAAGTCTTTCTCTCAATCCCAAAGGCAACATATTTAGAGTATTGTCTGTCTGTACCCTGACAAAGTAGTCCTATGTTACAGTTAGAGAGAATGGAGCATTTAAGAGAATCATTTAAATTGAAAATGCACTACTTGTAATGCAGCAAATATTTCCATTCATTTCAAGGGGGCTCTGCACATGAATTACACGTGACAGACCATTATCCCCACATTTTCAGTCCTACAAAACAAAATCCAGAACATTCTAGGATTACTTTCAAAGCTTTGCTAAACACTGACAAGGTGATAACAACATACACAAACTCCTAACTTGTTCTGGATAATCAATGATCACCTCCATGGTGTTTGGGATTCAAAAGAGGGAATTACACTGTAACAGTGGCAATAATAGATAGCAATGGTTGATAATAATAATATTTCTCTATTGGAGCCAGATGACTTTTTCTTAAAAACTGTAAATTAGAAGAGATTTTAGGGAAGAGAGAAAAGACAACATTTAAAAAAATATTTTTAAAAAATCTTTTGGAACAGTCTACACTGCTTTAAAGCCCTATAAAAACTATATATTGGTGGATTTGGAAAATTCAGTGTAAATGCTTATGTAAGAAAGCAAGTATCTGCACAAGAGAATGAGAATATATAGATCACTGCACAAATTTAAATATTTCATATGGAGCAAAGGGAAAACATTTTCTGATCTCAAAATAAACACGTTGCTGTTTTAAGAAAAATGAAAGAACATGTCACAGAACGATTTAATAAAACAGTGGAATTCTACCCCACCTTAGTCTTTCTGAATATAATTAAGAAAGCTTCTTTAAGATCTATAAACTTGGAAATAAAAATAAATTAATGTAAAATGAATTTATTTTCCAGTAAAGTGGGAGGTTGTCTGGATCTGACTTTGCAATTTGTGCTGGGCTTTTGCTTCCAGAGGTGGGTGAAGACCACAGTCTCTTTAAAATCTGTAACTTACATGATGTAGGGAACACTCCATTTCTCCTGCTTTGCCTGTTTTTCTGTTTCCCTGATCTTGGTGTCAACTGAACATTCTGAAATATTGATGTTTCCATGGGAGGTTTCAATTTCCTACATCACCAGACTGTATTGAGACAACACTATAATTGCCCTGATTTGTTTGAAAGACATGATCTTCAAATCTGAAGACTGAGACGAGTGTGATTGTAATGGGAGTTTGCAATCCAAAACAACTAAAGAACATCAAGTTGGGGAAGGTCTAGACCCCAGGTTAAACCTTTGAAGCCAACTGTATTACAAGAGAAAAAAATCCTATTGTGTAAATTATACTGTGTCAAATGCTGGCACAGAAGGACACAAAGCAGCACATCCAGTAATCTGAATGGCAATAGCAAATGATAAACATTCATTAACAATATTAAATGTGTTCATAAAAACAGGACATCGGACATCAGGAAAAGTGAGTGACCACCTTTGGCAGGTGTTTTGGGGCACTGTTTGCATTATTTGTGAATAGAATGTTGGAATGTTGCTCTATCATTTCCACAGCCCTTTTAAACAATGTTTGGAACCAAAAATGGCTTCCAAAAAAAAGCACCATAAAATGATTCCAGTGTTTTTTGAAACAGCAGCTTTGAGTAAACCAAATTCAGTAATTATATCCTTCAGTGTTGAACTGGATGGACCTTGTCAAATTTCCTGTCATGAGAGCTACTTACTTCTACATAAATTTATATAGTTTCCATAAATTCCCAGCTATCCAAAAAGGGATTTTCCATGTTCATCTAATAATGGAAGAAGATATTTGTCATCGAAATCAGAATAACCTGTCTGTATACCATTTCTGATTTATGAGCCACCCATTCCATTGGAGGTGATACACTAGAATAGATAGGACAGAACTTCTCCCCAGGCTGCATTACTTGTTAAAAAAATGTAGAAGAATCTTTATAAAAGGGGTTTTGCTTTTATAACTTCATCCCATTTCACAGCTGTGTTTTCAAAGCTTGGTCTCCTAGTGGTACAAGATGCCTTTTTAAAAGAAATATTAACTTGGCATATGTATTATATGTTCAGTCATTTCATACAGTTTCAGAATTAGACATCTAGTTTATAAAAAAAAAAATAATGGAGATACTGAGGAGAGAGGGGAAAAAAAGATATCAGGCCTGACATTACAGATTTCTAGCTTTATCATCACAACAATCTAGGAAGCCTCTGAGCCAAATGTTATGAAAGAAGAGAAACTGCTGAACCTCCAAGATGAGCATGCTCAGTGTATGTGCCAGCACAGAAAACAAGGAAGTACAGAAGCGCAGGAATCTACATCTCACAAGGCTGCTGTTTTAACATTCCTTAACACACATATGATTTTTTTTCTTTTTAAATAAAAAATATACCCATGGGCATTTTGTTTTCTTTTTGCTTTGTACATTTTTCTCCCACCTGAACAGTATCTTCACGGTTCATTGTTCACGTTTGTTCCCTCCTCAGTTATAAACCTCTCCTTCCATCCCAACATCAAGTTTGTTTATCTTGCTGTTTTCAATGTCAAAAGAACAACTTCTCCCTCCCTTGGAAGCAACAGCAGTTCTTCTGATGTGCGAAGTGATTCAACCAACAACTCTTTCTCCCACCCGCCTCCCCATGATTTCTTCTGAGCAGGCTCTGTAGGAATGGTTTATAATTATACCAATCCACCCACGGGGCGGGGGAAGGGGGGAGAGGAGAAAGTTCCCATTGATCCAGGTCCTCAGCTCCAGAGACCTTCAGTCTGTTGGAATAAGTAAGTATGTGTATACTATGGTGTGTGTATTTTTGCGTGTAGCTGTGGGGTAAAAAGGGGAACGATGTTTTGCACCAGCTTCCCCTGCTTTGTTTTCCAAAGGCCCTGGTGAAGGAGCACTGGCATCATTTTGTTGGCAGAGATACTGGTGTCCACTGTAACTTCTAGAAGGGTAATTTAAATACTCAGTTTGTTTTTCACAAGGTAGACTGGCTCTCACGTCATAGGATGATGCAACATCTGCAGAAACGCTGTCTGTTGCCCCCCACAGATGGTGGTGGAGTTACAGGTGCAAAGTAGGCGTGGACTTTAATATTGGGTAAGTGGGTCTGAAAAGACAAACACATTTTTTTCCCATTTACAAAAACTTAAAAATACTGAAAACATGAACAAATATGATTGTAAACTTAAAGTTGCCCATGGAATAATACTGGACCCGTAATTTGCAGAACAAATCTCTGCAAGTATCAGGGAGACATTTTAAAGAAAACTAATGGGTTCTTTCCAATCTTCCCCACTTTAGATTTGTGTAAATTTTTTACTTTTATATTTTCTCTATTCAATTGGCCAGTAAAGAGAATTTCCCTTAATTTTGTAGAAGCATCTTACTTTTTGTAGATTTGTAAAAGATGCTGCTTCGTAAACAAAAAAGAAATTGAGGTGTGGAGACACAAACTTACATGACTACTTCATGTAAACAGGCCAAGAAGTATCATTTGGTCAGCCAACTAAGTTCTTATGATGTTTGAAGTGTGTAAGTGATGATTTTATTTTGAGCTCCTTCAAATGTTGAACTGTGCAAGTGGTTTTCTGCACTGAGAAGGATCTGACTAGTATTCATGAATATCAATGTTCCCTCAAGAAAGCAGGAAATGCCCACAAACAGATCAAATTATCTTAGAAGAAAGAGGGAGGTAATAAGGTAGACAGATTCAATCTTGGCTATCTATTAGAGGGATACATTTTTTTGGTAGAAAGTTACCAACAGTCACTGGGCCCTGTGAATTCTTTGCAAAGTTGGAAACTAATTTCCATGTTACTCTTAACCTACGCAGACAAGAAGTCCCAGATTCTGATCTGCTGTTGATTTGTCACATTTATATCCTGTCTTTTATCTCAGCCAAGGCAGCTTACATGGAAGTCTGCTCTAATTTTATCCCATAATGACAGCCCTGCGAGAAAGGCTGGGCTGAGAGAATGACTGGTCCCAAACTTCCAGTGCATTCTGTGGTTGAATGGAGACTTGAACCTATAACTTTCCCGTTCAAAATGAATGCTAAGTCTAATAAACTACCCATATTATGCTATATATCCTTACCTTCAGTTTGAAGAATATGTTTCTAAGTAAAGTAGTTGTGGCTACTGGTTAGGATGAGAAAAGAGTCAAACAAGTATAGGAGCTAGAACTATATGCACATGGGTCTATTAAACAATGTAAATTTATTCTTACCCTGAGTCTCTTAATTCCAGCTCGGGTAATCTGTTGGCAGTCATATAGTTCTATCCTTTCCAGGCTGTGGCAGCTCTTGAGGTGTTCCAAGGAGGCATCTGTAATCAAGGGGCAGTTGTCCAGCTCAATCACCTCCAGGCGATCATGGGCACAGGCACCATTGCCTAAATGGCGAATACCATCATCGGTGATCAGCTCGCAGTGTGACAAACTCTGCCATCAAAAGGGAAAAGAAAGCATCAGGTGGCATTTACCAAGGTTTGGTTATGCAGATTTTTCAATTGCACTTACTGGACCCATGCCTCAATTATCCTCTACAATCTGTCCTGCAGAACTCCTGCACAATATTTTAAGGCCTTGAGGTGGAACTACACAGGCCACACGGATCCTCTTTTCTTCAGATAAGAACCCCAATTCCAGATATATTTTGGGTAGCATGCCAATCCCTCTCCCTGAAAATTTATTTATTTAAATAATTGATAAAGCCACCCATCTCCCCAAAGTGACTCTGGGTGGCATACAACAGTTAAAACCACTACCACAGTAGTTTAACAAAAACCAAATGCCTGAGGCCATACACAATCCAGCTCATAAAAATAACACATTTGCATTGACCAGCAGAGCTTGCCTAACCACAAGGCCCAGACACCTGGGGAAACAGCCAGGTCTTTAACGCCTTACAAAAGGCTAATGGGGCGGGGCCATCCTAATCTCCAGAGGGATGCTGTTCTATAGGGCATGTGTTGCTTTCCCTTTTCTTCATATACCTTTTCTCTTCCTTAGACTTCTGCAGTGCCCACTGTTTCTTCAAGTCATTGCAGGCTTAGCCTTTTTATAATATATAAACGCTTCCTTGGTTGACACTCTTATTAACAGAGTTGCAGTCCTGTTGAGAGCATTTAGGGAGTATCTTATTTAAGCTGGTTGTATGTATGGCATATGTTCAGCTATATAACTCAGCCTCTTAAAAGTGCTCTTCAACTAAGATATGTAACGAAATATTCTCTTGGCCCTTCTGACATCCCAAAATTCTATAGTAAAGCTGAGAAAACTGGGTTTGGGTAAAGTCTTCTTAGCTTGCAAGAAAAATTTAACTCACCAAAACCTGGAGCCGTGGACAGTGTATGGAGAGCTGGATTAATGTGCTGTCTGTTATCTGGAAGAAAACAAAAGAGACATGTTTGCAACTAATGCTGCACACTCGCAAGGAGTTTCGTGTGTATCATTTCATTTATTTTGTGTTAGTATTCCTCCAGGCATAACATAACAATGATTGTTGCTATCAAAGCTTGAAGGAGATGGTTGCTAGGAAAGGTACAGATTCTTCTCTGGTCATTTCCACAATGAGAATTCTGGTGGGGCCAAGAGGCAAAATGCTCATTTCTCAGCCAGTACTGATGCTGAGGTATCCATAAATTAGGTAAAAATTGTCTTTCTAATTCAAATTACATAGAGCTCTTCTCCTGGGAATTTAAAATTTGGGCCTATTTACAAATAATAACTAAGAGGAATGTTAATCTGAAGAAGACATGTAAATTCAGAGTCACTTAAACACAAATGAATTATATCTGACAATCATGGAGGGTTCTGGTTAAAAAAAAAAAAAAAGGAAGCACTAGACCATGCAGAACTGAAACCAATCCTCTGTACTTTAAAAATCCTTTTCCTCCACTTTCTTTTGGTTTGCTTATTCACAAGCTGATACTAAGAAAGGATACTGGTACCAGCTGCTTGTTTCCCCATCTTGAAAAGACTCAACATGTAATCTAGGGCTTTTTCTACTTATTATGTGCTTGAATCTTAGGACAGTGGTTTGCAACTGAACTGATTATTTTCCAAAGCAGCAGCAGGGCAGAACCGCTGTGCTGCATTCTCAACTGTCTGGTAATGTGTAATAAAGAAGGGACATGTGATGTCAGAAAGCTGCAAAGACGCTCCTCCTTTTTTGCTCAAAGCAGCTAATGAAACAGAGGGAGGAAGCTTTCTGTCTAATGGTATTACACACTTTTAAGAGTGTTTACTGGGCCAAAAAGAGGAAGTGAAAGTGGATCAACTGTTCCCTACTAGAGAATCACCTTGTTCCACTTCTGGGTTTCATTACAAAGTCACTAGACATGATTTGGAGATTTATTTCAACCTTGTGGCATTACAGCTAATCATGAATATCTTTTCCTAGAGATAATGAAGGCCTATGAAAATTCCATTATACATGGGGCACACTCCCTTTTCCAACATTACAGGAGTGGTCTAACAGCCAAATTATCACTCACAAATATTTCCTGGCTTCAGTGCTTGTTGTGATGCTCAAAAGCAATATCAAGCAGATTCTTAATAAGTTATAATTTATTTTGCATTAGATAACTATTAACTAAATAACTAATCTATAAAATAGGGTGAAAATGGTACAATTACCTGAACACATTCCTCCAAGTCCATTTTTTCAAGCTCATGACAATTCTAGAGAACATACATACAAATTAAATATTAATTTGTTTTTTAGAAGCATGCCCTGGTATTACAGAATAGTTTGATTTGTTCCTAGGAAATAATTTCAGTGTAAGCACTTGGAAACCACTTACTTTAAAAATAAGGACAAAAAGCAAGTTTGCCAGAGAGCTGAATTGCACATAATGTATTGGACTGTTTTAGGACAAGCTAATTTTGCTCAGGAATAAAGATGAAAATGACCCCCTTGTTTTCCCCTCTTCCTGACCTGGCTCTAAAAAAAAATCTCAATTTTAATTTATATAATCTGAGAGTAGATTATATAAATGTATGGAAATGTCTAATTATCAAAGCAATTTGTTCCTGTTCCATGAACCAATCTTTTTTTCAACACCAGTCACATTTACTTCAAATGGATTATACTAATGAGACACAGGTAACTGCATTATGGGTCTAGACTAGTCATTGATTTTCAAATGATATTACATTTCAACTCCTATCATATTCAACCATTGTGGCCAATGGACAGGTATGGGAGTGGTAATCCAAGACCAATGGGCCCAAGACTGGGAAAAGCTGGTTATAAAATACAAAGACTAAAAATAAGAAACATTTAGAGGACAAGGTTTTGGAATGTTTGCACTGAATTTAGATAGGGGGATGAAGCACAACCAATAAAAAATATTAACCTGCTGCATCTTCCATTCAACCATGTTAAAGCACCTATGAAGCTATCAAATTATAATCATCTTAAAAATGCTTGGAACCATACATCCTGTTGAGCTCACAACTCTGGTTCTTTTCACATCTTTCCTGTTTGCACAAAAAGCAGAGGTAGGGTATATTATTTGAAAAGATACAGAAAAGGAAAAGAGCACTGAGCTCACGTCAGCTCCTCTCAGTATAAGCTAGCTTCTTCCCTGCATTGCGGGCTCATTTCTGGACTCAAAGGTAGAAAAAGAGAGGACTGGGTAGAACAACTGACTGTGGGTGATAAAGCATGAATGGAAAAAGAATTCTATGTTCATTGCTCTCACAGCCTCTTTTTATTTTGAGGCAGGACATATCCTGCTTTGCATGTATCTCAGGAAAGGCAAGGGAATGATAGCCTTTTCATATCTAGTTTGGTCTTTAATGAGCTTTTCTTTCTTCTGTCACCAGGATTAATCCCAGCATTTAGGCTCAATACCTAGTAGGCACTAAGCATTACTGATCTGAATATGTGAGATTCTGTATCTGCTTCCCCCCCCCCGCATCCTTACTTAAAGTTCCTGAGCAGCAGCAGCATAATAGCTCCCAAGGCAATACTGAAACAGAAGCTGTTCACTATGAAGTACAGGCTTAGACAGCAAACGACAGCATCTAATGAAAAAGGCAGTCTTGACATCAAATGCTTACCCGAGCCAGAGTTGTAAAGCCCACATCTGTAAGCTGGGAACACCGAGCCACTTCCAATATCCTGCATGGAAAATAAGTATATAAACAAACAATTTTTGCTGTTTAGAGCCCACTTCTGAAATTTCAGAAACCCAGTGTGAACTAAGGAATAATCTTTAAATCCCCTATTCTAAAGTGGAATATCTTCCTACCCGTTCCTGGGATTTTAGGTACGAACAATCCTATCAAGAAAATCAAACGCTCGTAGAAGAAAAAAATAAGACTCTATAAATCTCAGAAACATTTTTTTTTACCACTTATTTCTAATTTTAATATTTTTACTATGCTTCCCAGCACAGGTACTGAAGATTTTTCAGAAACAAAAATCTCCATTCCTGCTTGCTTGCCTTTCTTAGTTAAGGAAACATCTTTAACTCATCTCTATTGTCAGCGATCCCCTCACTTCTCCAACACATATCACTGCTATCTCTTTTTTTGGTTCCCAACAATGCTTCATATTTGTGGGTCTCAAACCGATCTAATCACACTTATCTTAATAATCAATTTATGGAAGAGTCACATTGTTGTTTCTGAATGATAAGTTAGCTTTAGGAAAGGAGATGGACACTGTTTATAACAGTATAATGAAACTCTACTCTGTGCAATGATATTTTATGCTTTTCCCTCAAACATATGGGATACATTCTAAGCACGTAACATGCTTACATGCTCCTACATGGTCCTTTGGAGAAAGAACTAGTTACTTACCTGTAACTGTGGTTCTTCAAGTGGTCTGTGATTTCACACACATGGGTTATGTGTCTGCACACAGCCCCATTCAGAACCTTCCAGAGCTTACAAAATTGTTTGGAAGGAGCCCCATCCTCACATGTACCATATGACTATGCATAGTTCTCACTGAACCCCCTCAGTTCCTAAGACTGACACAATAGACCTAAAGAAACAGTAAGGTCACTTGAGATGAAACAAGGCAGAAGGGTGTATTGTGTGAATTCGCAGATGACCATTGTAAGAACTGCAGTTACAAGTAAGTAACCGGTGCTTCATTATTATGGTCTCTGTGATTCACATTTGGGCATGTAAAAGCTTACTTGGAAGAGGGTCTGGATGGCATAAAGTTACCAAAGCAAGGACAGCCCTTCCAAAGCCTGCATCTCAAGTCTCATCTTTATGTTGAATGAAGATGGAGGGCTGAGATCAAGTGGCTGCCCACATAGCTTCAGTAGGGGAGTGCGCTAGAGAAATGTTGCCAATGCTGCTGTCACTCTTGATGAGTGGGTGCAGACTGGGAGGGGCAAAGCTGTTTGGCCAGCTCATAACAAGCCTTCATGGCTGTTACTATCTATTGGGAGAAATGCTGTGAGGAAAGGCCTTCCTCTTTAGATAGGCCTTGGAATGCCAGGAATAAACTTTCTTACCTGGTGAAACAGGGTTGTATGCTTCAGGTAAAAAGTATGAACGTACAGTAATGGGCATCCAAAGAATGAAGCAGTGTTTCTAATGGTATTTAGAGGCTGGGAAAAAAGGCAGGCAATAAAATAAGTTGAGTTGAGTGGAACACTGAGGCTGATTTTGAAAGGAAAGAAAAGTAATGGGTAAAAAATTACTTTGTCCTTTGTCCCATCAAAACGAGGATGGGAAAATTTCTTGTAAAACATACAATTCTACTCTTGATAAGCCAATGTCACTGCAACCAAAAATGCTACTTTCAAGGAGATGAGATTAATTGGGAAAGTAACCATGGGTTCAAAGAGTATTACACAGAGAGAACAAGAGAGAGGCTCCAGGCCAGAAATGACAAAGATGCCAAAGTTGAGTTAGGCCTTTCATGAAATGCTTTATAAGTGGGCTAGAAAATAAGAAAAGTATCTTCCAACAAAGGGAAAAAAAGAGGCTGCAAAATATACTGTCACTGAAGACAGAATTAGGTCTCATTGTTTTAAGCGAGGGGAAAAGATTGAAACATGATGGAGCTGATATTGCAAAGGACTGAACTGCTGTTTCTGAGCAGAGGATTTCCATTCAGCTGCAGAGGAAGCCCTTGTGGAAGACTTAAGAGAAACCAACGTAAGCTGCTTTGCCTCATTCCAGAGAGGTTGTGGGAATCAAATCCCCCAAGCTGTAAAGCACTGCTTGTTTGTCCCATGATGCAAAAAGACTGATTTTGCCCTAATAAGACTTGGTGATAGCCATTGCCAATTGCTGCAGTTTCTATTCATAAAAAAGCTGTTCTGGTATGTCTAAGGTGATCAGCAAGGACGCTATCACTTCCAAGCATAAAGTTTGCAAGGGCAAAGATGGACTGATAGATGCACCAATGCTAAATGTGCAACATAACACCCAAAGACTGCCAGACTTACATTACCTTATATGGAGTCCTTGGGGTTCTCTGAGTTTGGTTGTTTTCTTGCAAACGTTTCATTACCCGGCTAGGTAACATCTTCAGTGCTAAAATGAGCAAACCCCATTCCATTCTAGCACTGAAGATGT